AAGTCCACTATCGATTCCCCCTGCCACCGCACACATGTACTGATAGACCCCCGATTTAAGAGTCGGAGATCCAGTCCAGCTGCCCATCCCTGCAATGTCTCTCCCCTTGCATTATCCCGGGTAGAACCCCATGCTCTAGAATGAGCGTTGAAGTCACCCAAAACAAGGATAGGACCATGCAGGCCTGTGCGAATGCATCCACCTACTTCATCTAGGTAGTCCTCGTACGCAGTAAGGCTGCAATTGGGAGAGACATAGCAGCCTACCACGGTAAGTGTACCCCATTTTACGGCAACGAAGCCTGATCCCCTTGCTAACAATGAACACGATGGGTCCCTAGTGTCACCAGCCCAATATACAGCGACGGAGCCTCCATCGTCCCCAAACCAGCGAGGGTGCTCTGGGATCCGGTATGGCTCTGCTATCACCGCCAATGCAACCGACCACTCCGCGAGGGTTTGCAGTAGCAGGTCCTGCGCCGCGCGGCAGTGGTTCAGGTTTGTTTGGAGGAGCTTCACGTTTCTGTCGTAGGTGAAGCCTCCATAGCCTCCGGGGCACATGTGTGCCATAGGTGGTGGAGCCTGCTTACTCCCCCTTCCTTTTGACTTCCCTTTGGGTGCGCAGGCTTTTGAACCCAATCGATGATCAGCAGGACGTCCAAGATCCATACATAGTGGACACTTCAAAACGCCTGATTTGCATTGACTTGCCTTGTGCCCAGGTTCACCGCATGAATAGCAGCGCGTGCTACGATCCACTTCATTGGGGCACCGGCTACGTACATGTCCCGATTCAAGGCACCGATAGCACTGTAGTGACCGTTGTGCTAGGACTTGTAGCCTAGCAGCAGTCCACCCTATACGAACACTTTTCGCTGGCGCCAGCTTACGCACCACTGCGAGAGGGCATCGCACCCATATGGACCCGAGACGTAAGGGTGTTCGATGAATTTCACCACTTTTACGTCCGTGACTAAACATCCTCCCGCTTCAGCCACCGCCGCTGCCACTTCTGTTGGAGTGACAGATTCGTCCAAATCCATTACTCTCAATTCTCCGGTTTTCACTGGACGTGCGATGTGCACGTCCATTTCGGCAAGGACTTCGCGCATTTTGGCAGCTAATTTGTCAGCCTTAGCACCGCTGTCCGGACCAGTTATCTCTAGTTTTAAAGCCCCAGTGATTGCTCTCCTCGTTCGGGCTGTTTCGATGCCGCAGTCTGTCAGGTCCACCTTTTGTTTAGCTGCTGCCATGACTGCCGCATACAATTTTTCACTGTGCTCTGGCACAGTGACCGTTATGGCCGCTGAGTTGGGCAGTCTTCCCAGCTTTGCCGCTTTTATGGCTGACTTTGGGTCCTTCATTTTCCCCGGCATTTTCTTCGGTGCAGCCTCCTTTTGTGACGAAGTCATCTTATTCATAAACACCTTCGTAGCCGCTCTCGTAGCTTTGCGACTCGACACAACCGCCCAAGATTGCGATGGTAGTGCACTTTCCTCTGTTATATATTCAGGAGGAGTTGTAGCCATTGCTTGATCTTGCTGAGTGCACTTTTCATTGCCAAGTCTCCCCTTTTCTTTACCCAATGGTTTCGCTGATTGTTCAGACTTCTTCGAGGTTCCTTTCCCAACGAAAGCCGCCAGTTTTTTGTCAATGAGCACGCTAATGCGCTCCATCAGCCGACTTTCAAAGTCTCCTTCCGTAATACGTTGGGGCGGCTTAGTTGCTTTACATAGCTCTGTTTTTCGTAAAGCGCTGAGCTCCTCCGTCAACTTTCCAACCTTCGCTGTAAGCTCAGCGATTTGAGAGCGAAGTTCAGCATTCTCGCGCTCCAACCTTTCGACACTTGTCGCCTGGCGTTTCGGCTCCGGAGCTTTTAGCTCTTCCGGAGACTGCTGTTTTGCCTTCCTCCGTTTTCTACTCACTTGAGAGGCCGTTGATCTAGCCGAATCTACCGACATGATGGAAGAGTCCGACTCTGCTCCTTCACTTCTTATTTCGGGAGCAACTAAGCCCCGTGCCACGAAACGTCCCGTCTTTGGGTCACGAACTGCCGATGCAGTTCCAGAGCCACTTTCGCCCATAGCACTTTCCTTTCCTTCCGCGTTTTTATTAAGGGTTCTAACTTTTTTCATAACAGATCCCACGAGTATGGGGGAATTATTCAGTCCATCCAGGCAGTGCCCTCCTGTGCCTGGGTAAGCCTACATACACCCAGGGGTCGGCCGGTGCCTGGGGTCGAGTAGCAGTAGTGATTGACAACCCCTCAACCATGCATCTCCTCGCGCTGCTCTCACCGCTTGAGATTGGGGGTTATTTTATAGAGGCTTTCTCCTCTTGGCCCAGCCAATGAAGGCAAGGCCCTCGTTCCTGTTCAAAGCCGCGAGACATGACCACAGCACTTTGAACAGGTTTACGAGTTCCACGCGCATTCCCACGTCGTGGTCGACGGTGGCGACGAGACCGTTGTCGCATCGCCCGCTAAGTGACAGGGTTAGTGAACACAAAGCCCGCCCTTGTTTCTCCAGTATGTCTTCTGCTGATCAGAGGAACACCCGGAGAAACGCCCACCCGTCAGATTATTCGCTACCAGTCAGTGGCCACAAAGGCCACTGACTGGTACCCGGGGTGCACCACGAGGAGGTTATCTGACAAAGCACCCCACCGCCGTTAGTTAGGCCTAATAGCGCTTCAGTAGCCCTAGATGACTCCGAAAAAGCCGAATGCCTTGCGGACAACCTAGAGCAGCAATGTACGACATCGCGCGAACACACCGATTCGGCCCACCTAACGGAGGTGGACCGCGTAATCGAGACTAGGGCTGCGCTTCCACCGGAAGGCGAACCTTTAAATTCAGTGACCCCCGAAGAGGTCCAAGATATTATTAAAAATTTAAAACCAAAATCCGCCCCGGGCCCAGATAATATCAGTAACAAAATTCTTAAAGCTCTCCCTGGGCCGCTTATCTGTTTACTGGCGACCATTTACAACACTTTACTCTCCAGTTGCTCCTTTCCCGACGACTGGAAAGAAGCCACGGTTATCGGCATTCGCAAGCCGAATAAACCAGCCAACCAGCCCTCTAGTTATCGTCCCATCAGCCTCCTCAGTTGCCTGGGGAAGCTCTACGAGCGGCTTTTATTAAACAGGCTCAATGAACACGTGTTTACCAACGGCCTTCTGCCGGCGGAACAATTCGGCTTTCGAGCTAGACATTCCTGTCCCGATCAACTATTCCGCCTAACGGAACAAATCCTAAATCACCCTAAACATATTAGTACAGGGGCTCTTTTCTTCGATGTCGCAAAAGCATTCGACAAGGTCTGACACAACGGCTTGCTTTACAAGCTGTACACACTCAAAGTGCCAGATAGGCTCGTACACACCATCCGGGCCTTCCTGTCAAACCGCTCTTTTCGATATCGAGTTGAAGGCACCCTCTCCACAAGCCGCCGCCTCACGGCCGGCGTACCACAAGGCTCCTGCCTCTCACCTTTGCTGTTTACGCTCTACACGAGCGATATACCTAAAGACCCCCACGTCAATCTCGCGCTTTTCGCGGATGACACGGCGCTCTTTTATTCAGACCGCAACCTTAGACTACTAACCACTCGACTCCAAAGCGTCGCCGACCGCCTCGGCGACTGGTTCCGCAAATGGAGAATAGAAATAAATCCCGAAAAGAGTGTAGCGACTCACTTCACACGAAGTACTTACCCGTCACATCTTTATAATGGTCCTCGCCAATGCAGAAAGTTGGGGCAAATATCCCTTTATGGCCAACCGCTCCCCTGGGAGAAAAAGGTCAAATACTTAGGAGTCACTTTCGACTCGCGTATGTCATTTACTACGCACATTAATAACGTTCGTAATAGAGCCGCGTTCGTCTCCGGCCGGCTACACAATTTAACTAACGCTAAAAGTAAAATGCCCTTAAGGCACAAATTATTATTATATAAGACCTGCGTACGACCTATTATGTCCTACGCATGCATGATCTTCGCCCACACGCACCCTACTCGCTTGTACAAGCTGCAAATAGTACAAAATAAGTTCATCCGCCGTGCAACCGGTGCGCAGTGGTATCAACGCAACGTCGATCTGCACAGCGATTGCAGACTCCCGACGATTCGCGAATATTTTAAAGACCTGACCAAACGGTTCTTCGATAGAGCCGAACATCATCCCAACCCTCTGGTGGTAAGCGCAGCAAATTACCAACCCGTCACAAACGCGAACGTCAACAAGCGTCGCCCGCGAAACGTCCTCATCGACCCGGTCGAGGAAGGGGACTTAGATACGCCGGACCCACCGCCGGGGGTCCCGCCGGATAACACTACACCCCCACAGTTAGTGCAACAACAAACACACTAGTTCGCCCTCGCCTCCGAGCACGGCGAGACCAACACAACGCGTACACAAGGTACACCCGCGTTCCAGGGCGGTTCTCACCGCCCCCAGCCACCGATTAGCTAAAAACACAGTCGACGGCCATCGGGGTCTCAGTCCACACCGCAACTTCGATGGCCCTTAGATGACATGTCGTAGTTAAACGCACGCATGAGCACATGCGCGGCCCTACCGACAGCGGAGGGCCCAAACCCGTGGGTTCTGGCTAGCCCACCGGTTCTGCGTCAGATGAAGCTTTAATAGTCTCGGGACTGAAAGCAAAAACATCAGTTTTAAAACAACAAAAAACAAAAATCCACTCCATGTTTAAAAGTAAATGAAATTCTAAATAGTGCACATTTTTACTTTCATGAAACATTCGAAATTCGAACATAATAGATATTTTTATTTCCAGCATTCAAAATTCAAAATTTTTCATAGTGTGACAGAACATAAGACCCGACTTGGTATAATACTTTCTCTGGTGTATTAAAATAAAATAATTTATGAAAAATAACCAAAGGAAAGTATTGGTTACATATGCCTATGGTAGTATAAATATGCTAAGAATATGTTATATTTTATTATTTAGTATTATATGAAATAAAAAACCTGAACTCCTGCATCTCTTTCTGCTCTTCACGTGAAATTTGCTGAGCTGCCTTTGCCTTTGTCCGCTCCACTAAATCCAGAAAGCCTACTTCATCATCATCAAGACCCCTTATCATATTTTCTGTAAAAGAATTGTTTATCAAATTGTATAATTGGACTATTTTGCCTCGAAAATATCTCTAATTTAGAGAGTCTTATTAACAAGTCTTAAAGAAAAAAATTTAAGCTTATTGTCGCTACAGTTTACATTTGTGACTTTTATAATAGTTACATTAATAGCACTTCCTCATATAGAAGGCAATATAGCTCTAGAAATATAAAGACCTAGATTTAATTTATTTACTGTAAGAAATAGCTCACTTCATATCAGTCACTGAACAAAAATATGTTGTTACATTAAGTAGATTACGTATTTTGCTATTAAAAATGTTATTTTGATCATGACTCAGTATTGCCGCCGCTAAGGTATTGGCTACGGAGTCTGGGGTTGGGTGTTCCATTCCCACACGGAACAAGTATTTGTATTACCCATAAATAATTGTTCGGATCTGGGTGTTTGTTTCCCAAGGAGATTTGATCAGGAGGAGGTCAGGCCAGGACCAGAGGATGATGATAATGACAATAAATAACCATAATTTCGACAAATAGTGTAAATATCAACCCTAATGGAAAATAAATTACTATTGTAAGCAATGTGTTTAATAGTCAGAGAATATAATCTTAAAGACATATCAATTGATAATTTTGGATAAGGAATAATGGAGATATGTAACATATCAACAAAAAAAATTCTTTGAGAAATCAGAAAATAAGAATTTTATTGATTATCATATTTACATTAATTATCATTTGAAATAATATTTACATGCCTAGTAAATGCCTAGTTCTGTCCAAAAAACAGAAAGATCACATTAACCAAATGTGTTCCAAAGTAAAGAGTCTGTCTGAATTAATACAATGAATCAATACAATAAAATACAAGTAACATAATTATAATAATTTTTAAAGTATATTACTTACTCAATTTATGGGCTTCTTCATATTCAGCTTCCTTTTTCAACCTTTGCTCTTCCAATCGGTGGTACAGAGGCCGCGTGTCGTATTGTTCTTCTGGTGCCTCTATATTAAATATAGTTCGTATAATTAAAAAGTTAAAAAATCTCATTTATTACAATACAATTATGACGAAAAGATAAGCTGTACCTTTCGGTTGATCCTCTGTTCTTACTTTTTCCCATTCTTCTTGACGTCTTCGCCTCGCCTCCAATATTTCAGACTCGGAAATAAAACCAGAGCTCATCGCGTTATTTAGTGAAGAAGTATTAATATTATTCAATATAATCAACGTGATGTTTATGGAGCACTTGCAAGTAACCTTTTTGACAAATTCTTCAAAAACCACATCAAATCAAACAAGATGTTAATGTCAATTATATACAGAATTACAGATGTCATTTTTATGAGCTGGGAAAGTACTTTTAGATTTTAATTCGAAGCTAATTTTATTTAGAAAGATATATTTTTTCTAGTATATAAAAATTTACACAAATTACATTAGTAATTCTAGGATTTTTTTTGGGCTTGATGAGCCACTGTCGGCCTTAGGGGCCTTTACAGTTTCGCCGGACTTGAGGTGGCCGGGCGTTTGGGGCGCCTAGCCTGAACCTCCCTCGGGAGCCTCGGGCCGTCACGCTATTACTATTACCGGTTTGGGAGGCCAAGCCCTTAGGGTGCTTTGACGGACGCTCCATGGAATGACTAAGCTCAAGGGTCCCCGAGAGGGGACCTCGGCTTGGGCTGTCACTCAAAACGCGTTTAGCATTCTGATTCGAGGGTGCCCGAGAGAGCCGGACCTCGGTTCGATCAAGCAAGTTCACAAGTTGCTGCCCCCACCCTTGGATATCGGGCGTCCCGCAAGGTTCTTTCCTTCTTGTATCTTGTTTTAACTGATGTTTGAGCTTTCAGTCCCGAGACTATGAAAGCTTCATCTGATGTAGAACCGGTGGGCTAGCCAGAACCCACGGGTTTGGGCCCTTCGCTGTGGTTAGGGCCGCGCATGTGCTTATGCGTGCGTTTAACTACGGCATGTCATCTAAGGGCCGAGACCCCAATGGCCGTCGACTGTTTTTATAGTGAATCGGTGGCTGGCTGGGGGCGCTGAGAACGAGGGTGAGCCTTGTGTACGCGTTGTGTTGGTCTCGCCATGCTCGGAGGTGAGGGCGAACTAATGTGTTTGTTGCTACACTAACTGTGTGTATAGTGTTATCCGGCGGAACCCCCGACGGTGGGTCCAACATACCTAACACCCCTTCTTCGACCGGGTCCATGTTCTTCCCTTAACCTTCCATTGCCTATACACAAGCGAAATACCTAAAACCACTCAGAAAGATATGGAAGTGTATGCTGGGGGAGGCCTATGTTCAGCAGTGGACTCAAACAGGCTGAAATGATGATGATGATGATGATGATGCGCTTATGACATAGGTCTATCGCGATATATATCTAAATGTGGTCAGATTGCATGAATCTAATAAGTCGTTTATTGTTATTTAATAGTGAGTCTGCATACGATTGTTCACTCATTTCGTTATTAATTTTGAAAGACAATTTTAAAGATCTTCGCGAATTAATTATTTTTCGTAAATAATTAATTTCTCATAACAACATAATCATCCTAATTTATCTTTCATAAGCTATCGTTCAACGTAGTTACAGCTCGTTATTAAATCTCAATTTGGACCTCATTACTTCCTCGAGAAAAAAAATATAAAAAAAACTGAGAAATAAATGTACAACAGAGGGATACTTTCCAGTCGAATGGTCCATCTTTAACTCACATGGGTCGCGGAAATGCAGTGGACGCGGACGGTTTAATCATTTTGTCAATGTTCAATGTACAATTCCATGTACAATGTTCTCATGAGTCCATGATCTTTTTCCGAAGTAACTCTCAAAGCCACCGGGCTTACAGCATACCACTCAAACTTCAGAGAGCGACTGTGTTCTATCGGTAGACAGTGTACCCCTCTGATCGAAGGCCTCCAAAGTGGCTAGTGAGATTTAAAATTTAATAGATGACGACTCCGTGGTGCAGTGGCCAAGGTATTGGCTTCGGTGTTGGGGGTCGTGGGTTCGATTCCCACACGGAACAGCTATTTGTGTGACCCACAGATAGTTGTTTCACATCTTGGTGTTTGTCCGCGTGAAATTCAACTAAAAAAATAACGTGCTTAATTTTAAGGATATAAGTACCAAATTTCATCACTGACAGAGTCAATCCGTTGTCGGTTTTTAGATGAAAATAAGCTCAATTCTCGAAAATCTAATATTGATTCAGTGATAACTAATTCCACAAGATTTCGCAAAGTAGGTAGGTTACACGTAAAGGCCTGCTAGCTAAATCAATCCTAAAAAAAGATAAGAGAGAAATAATATAGATGATTAAATAAAAACAAAAATGGTACTGAATTCAGGTGATAAAAAGGTGTTGGTCGCTCCTTTTATGTTCATCTACGTATCCGTGAAATTGATTAATATTAGAAGTATTTTCTATCAAACCTTATCGGAGATTTTCCTTGTATGATAAATATAACAGTAGCAAAACATTTTTGGCTATTGTCAACATGATTTTTAATAATGATTTTATGGCCTGGTAATAAGATCTTTCAGTTCAGTGTCAACGTAAAAAAAATTAAAGAAAAATGCGTGTTTATAAAGTAAGTTTTATGTTAAAACTTACTTTTTAAGTGACGCTTTTGCAAAAAGCAGAAACACAGTATTGAAAATAAAATTCTTCCAACTATTTTATATCGAAAAAATAAAGAGATTTAATGCAAGAAAATATACTTTTTTAAATAACAATAAATAATTTATATAAAAATTTGAATAAAAATTTGAATATCATATAATTAGACTATTTTCTTGTTTGTTAAAGCTATCTTTGTAAATAGAGCAACTAATTTTAAAAAATTGGCACTTCATAAACTTTTCGTGAAATTATAATTTTAAATACATTTTAGAGCAATTTCTTCCTTTCCCCGACCTACATTTGTGAATTAACCCACGACATACAATGTCGGAATCGGAAAGCGTGGATAAACCTGAAGAAATGGCAGAATTAGAGTATATCGAAGACGGACAAAATAAACTAATTATTAAGTGTAAATTTTGTGGATCAAAAATTTTAGACAAGAAATCTGCTAAATATATAAAACAAGAGGTATTGTGCTGAGTTTTTAAACTTATTACTTCATTTCCATTTCTCCTTTTTACTTCGCATTGGTACAATATGTACTTGTTTCTTACTTGTATTGTTATTTTTACAGAAAGAGCTGCCGTTGATGCAACAGGACACTAGAAAAGAAGGCGTAATCCAAAGTGAATCGCTCAACCAATTCTATCACGTCGAGAACATGTATACCTTCGAAAATATCGGCTTTACGCATACAGTGGCCAACCACAAGTACCTTAGTTGTGCGGATTGCGACGCCGGTCCTGTAGGTTATTATGACATGGACAGTAAACATAGCTATGTAGCACTGTCGAGAGTAGAACATTGTTGAATTTGTTAATCCATAATGCGCTTGAATGTATGTTGGTTAAAACTATTTTTATGTTCAGGATGTTTATATTTGGGAAGCACTTGAAAGATTATAAGTCCAAATTTCTTCATTCAATGTAGGGTGTTGTTCACTAAAATAGACCTGTCCAGAGAACTGGCAACAAACTGCAGTCTTGTTAGCTTTTTTTTAATTATATAAGTATACCAAATTATTTAAGTATAAAATATATAAGTATAAAATCATAAATTATATAAGTATAAAATCAGCAGTAGCCAGTGGACTTGCAAGTGTAGAGCAAGAGTCATTTCCACACATTCTTGTCCTCTATGTGTTCTTCGACATTATAATGGGCCCTTTCCATTAGGGTAGCTTTTTAATGTTTGATGTTGTTTACACTTTGTTGTTTGTGGATGACACCTATTTTATTATATAAGTTAATACATCTACCAAAAAACGATTTTCTGTTATTAGCCACTTACAATAATAATATAATAGAAATAGTTTCGGTCACCTTTTTTTCATTTTGTACTCATTGAATGTATCCTAATAGGTTAAAAGCAATTATCATTGGAACATTTTAGCTAATGGTGAAAATGGAAAACTAGCAAAATAATGAGGACTTCTGTCAAAAGTTTTATTGTGTGATGTAATAATTTATTTATAAGAAATATACATAGTATATTATATATATTGTGGAAAATATAATTTAATAAATAATAGTTGCAAGTCGGCAGACACAAGTACATGCATCTTGTTTTGATGCATTTTTTTTATTTTTGCTTTTGCATTATCACATATAATCTGATTATTGCAATTATTATTCATTACATTTAATTTTTTTACATTTTGTTGAAATGTAGGTTGTGTTTGTGGCTACAAACAGGTAAAATTCAATTTTGCTTTAAAATTTTGTGTTAGGGCCATGCAGCAGCCTCAGCTGTTTCACGAATGGGTATCGTTCGGGTAAGTATCACAACCTCACAGAAGACCGGCGTAAAGTGGAAGTATAATACTTTCGCGTTTCGTCTGGTGAGTGAGGTGGCCGGAGCCCAATTTTTCAAAAGGTTGTCAACGCAACTGGTACTCTCGGGTGTAGCAGATGTCCATGGGCGGCGATATTCACTTAACATCAGGTGAACCATCGGCATGCTTGGCAACTTTTCACATAAAAAAAAAAAATTGTAAACCCTTTATTGTTTATTATTTATGAACTTGTGTATTTCGGAAAGTGAAATGAAAAAAAAAGTTGTCTCTTTGATATTACCTAGTTTTTATGGCTGTACATTAAACATTGTTAAACAGCCAGAAATGGTAAGAATATTATGTTTATAAACTTAGCTATGTTTTATTATTATTAATAATAGTCTTGTTTTGACAAGTAAGCTGACTTGAAAAGTTTATCATGAACATCGAAATACATGAAAAAATCCAAATATATTTTAGTTTACTCTATGTATCAGTGCACGGAACTTTATACCTAGGTACCTATATATGATAGGCTTCATAAGTAATGAGCTAAGTGGCATAAATGATAGCAAGATGTTTCAATTGGTTCTTTTTGTACTACATTCTTGTAAAATATGAGAGCTACTATTAAAACATAACCATAATATTCTGTAAGAATTGATTGCTCACATATTGTCATTCCATATGTAATATTTAGTACATTTGTAGGAAGTAAAACGAAAATTTTTAGACAATTTTGTGGTGCGGTATCCTGTATTTAAGCTTTGCTTAA